GGTCCGTGTTCACGCCCGGAGGTAGGCAGAAAAGCCACATTTCTCCCAGATTTGTGATATCTATTATGGAATCAAGGCCGAAGGGTTGCGATATCCATAGCCAAAGGGTTAACAATTCATGGTTTCTGGATACTTAAAAATTTTTTTTTTTTTTAAAGAGTGTGAGGGTACGACTTTTGAAACGTACTGATATTTTTGTCAGCATCACACGGATCGGAAACTGCACCTACTCCCAAAATTCCATTCTAACAATCATGATTATCATCATCATCAACAAACGACTTGCCGACTGACGTGTGCGATCATGCTGTTCTGCAATCAGCCGGGTTCATGCATCGTTCTTGTCCTGAGACCCTCCTGCCCAGACGAACGACTTTCAAGAATGTTCTCTAGTTGTCTTCCTCTATCTCTCTTTTCACAAATGTTTCCTGCCGGCAAAACGTGTTCCAGTTTCTTTTTCCCCATAACGTGAGGTGAACAATCATTGATCTGATGTTTGTAAAGAGCTGTCGTTGAGACTCAGCTTCTGTCAAAACATCTAGGAATTTAAAAATAAGTACCTCAAATGTAACAGGGGGAAAAAACTTGGTACTTTTCTTTTAGTTCGTCCCATCTCTGGGACTCCGAGATTTCATAGGGAGTTCCCAGGAGAGTCCAATATTAACAAAAGGGTTGGGGGTTAGGGTTAGTCTTGTTTCATTTCACATCCTAACACCTCTATACTAATGGACTGTCCTGGGAACTCCATACGAAATCTCGGAGTCCCCGAGATAGAAAGAATTAAACAAAAAGAGTCCAAAACTGGCAACCACACAATTCTCCCCATTACCTAATTAGAACATATTGCTAGATACAGGTGCGACCGTGAAAGGCACTTCCCGCCTCAAGCCGGTATAATATCGACCGTTCTATGACAATTTTGGGGATCCAATTAAAGAAACAATGTCGACCCTGGAGTCGTTGGCCACGACAAGTTAAATTCGAAAGGATCGTCCTTGTTGCCCCAGGTTATAAAATACATCTCGGTCTCTCTCCGCAAAATGGCAAGCAGGACAATCTCCGTGGCACCAGTGACGATCCCAAGGAATTTCCGCAAACCTACACTCGTGAACTGAAGGAGGAGTCCGTGAAACGAACTCACAACCTTCAGAGCGCTAGGCGAGCCGCTTACCCAACTCGTTATGAAGTTCTCCTGCACCCCCCCCCCCCACCTCTCTTCCCACTCCTCACCACCTCCCCCAGAAAATAACTTGTCTAAGGTTGTCATAACACTGGGGAGGTACTGCAAGAATCAGATACCTGCCACCATAGACGCCGAGCTTAGAGCACTGATTGATCAGCACTCACGGCCAGAAGACGTCGTCATTGACACAGATGGGTTAGTGAAGAGCAGGACAAGTTCAGCATGGGCATACACAGCACAAAGGATGGGGAAAACAATAAAAGAGGATAGCGGCGCTTACCAGACAACTACGTCAAGCATGACAATGGAGGTAGCTGCTGCTACCAGAGCACTCGCGTGGGTAGCAGAACAAGCGGCCACACATGCGGTAATTGTTTCAGACTCTACAAACATGCTTCAGAAAATCGCTACAGGAAGTCTGAATGAAAGAGCTAACCAGCTGGCAAGTAATGCACCAGTTCAAATGGGAAAAAGCATGGACAGAGCTGGCATCATCAACGCCGTACGGATTCGGTTGAGAGATAATGAGGAAAGTCTGACGCTAACACGACTTCGTGACCGATAAGTTAAGCTTGTTGAAGCAGGACTATGCCGTCTTAGAGATAAAGACAGGAGATACTATAATCAACTCCTTATGTAAACAATAAGTAGAGGTACCTTGGAGTGGCTGCTGCATCGGAGGACTGAGCATGCATGGGGATGCCCAATGTGCAAAGACGTCGATTGTGATAACATAACCAAATTTTAGTGGGGGGAAAAAACATTAGAGATTCAGGAACCAGTTGGCATCTCATGTGTTTGACTCGTTTCTTTCCAGAAGCTCTGTTTTCAGTCTGAACCCCCCCCCCCCTCCCCCACCCAACCCCTTTCTTTATCAAAATTCTCCTATCTGCCATACTATGCTCAAGGACATCCTGCCCGACGAATCCACCTCGATTTATGTATCATTCATACCCCGCTGGCATTTATTTAAAAATCGCAGTCAAACCCTTACACACCCCCTTAAACCCCCCCCCCCCCCCCCTTTCCTTCTTTACACACAACCACATCTTTAGCTCATAAGAGGCAACAGAAGGACCACGGCCAATCAGGCAACAGGTATACGACAAAAGCAGCGATACTTGTCTTTTCGTTTACCCCATCTCGGAGACTCCGAGATTTGGTGGGTAGTTCCCGGTAAAGTCAAATAATATGGGAGAGGGGGTTAAGTTTAGGTTTGTGAGTTAAAATTTCAGACAGGCACAAACGAAACAAACATATTCTATAAGCCCCTATTCGCTTCTGTCCGATCCCTTGGCTGTAGATTTTCCCAGACCACACTAATTGAGGACAAATTGTTGCAGGAATTTCAGCTCTGGGAATACGGCATATGATCGATCACGCGCACCTGGACGCCATGACTTGACGACAACAACTCGTCAACAACGGCTAATAACGTTGCCCAGAATAGCAATGGTGGGCGATGCAGAAAAATCGCTTTGTGGCTGTGATCTTTTGTGGTAACTTTTGGGTCCCAGAAGACAATTGAGCTTTGTCGTTAGCGCCCACGCTTCTTTGTATCAGAACCCGTACGTAAAAGGTTAAAGGAGTGTTGTTGTAGATTTGTTGTTCTCGAACGTATATTGGGACCAGATTCGTGGGTGTGGCTGATAGATCTAAAGACAGACTACGAATTGGAGATGTTTTCAAAACATGGACAAGATAAAAATAGATCTCAGTGTTGTTTTATACATTTTGTAAAAGGCTGGTGAATACGATATATGGGATTTCATAGCAGAAGATTTGTTCCTAAAGTAAAATTAATATTTTGTTGCTTAAGTAGTAATTGTTGTTGTAGTTGTTCTCTTTCGTCACCCTCTCATCCTCCTCCTCCTATATCTTCTTCTTCTTCTTCTTCTTCTTCTTCTTCTTCTTCTTCTTCTTCTTCTTCTTCTTCTTCTTCTTCTTCTTCTTCTTCTTCTTCTTCTTCTTCTTCTTCTTCTTCTTCTTCTTCTTCTTCTTCTTCTTCTTCTTCTTCTTCTTCTTCTTCTTCTTCTTCTTCTTCTTCTTCTTCCTCTCTTTCTTCTTCTTCTTCTTCTTCTTCTTCTTCTTCTTCTTCTTCTTCTTCTTCTTCTTCTTCTTCTTCTTCTTCTTCTTCTTCTTCTTCTTCTTCTTCTTCTTCTTCTTCTTCTTCTTCTTCTTCTTCTTCTTCTTCTTCTTCTTCTTCTTCTTTTCTTCTTCTTCTTTTTCTTCTTCTTCTTCTTCTTCTTCTTCTTCTTCTTCTTCTTCTTCTTCTACTAATTTCTCCTTCTATTCTTCTCCTCCTCCTTCTTCTTCTCTTTAGTAGGGCACACTGTCTTGTGGTTTACATATAGGCCGCGATATCTACGCTTTTTTTTGACCAACCCATCCAATTTCAGTGTATTCATTATTAATTAACTCTTACATGTTGTTTGTTGGGAGAATGGGTCACTTGACCTATATGGCTACAGCAGGAGGGGTTTGAAGAGAAGAGAAAACAGATACACAGCAGCAAGAGAAAACACTGTCTCTAAATATATGACACATTAAACTAGATATGATAAACCTACAAACAATATTTTTTTAAATCACTGTAGGTGAGAATGGACGTCAATTATTTATTTATTGTGTTGTTCAGAAAAAACCGGAGCGAGAGTTACAATGACAATGATTAATTTGTGTTCATCCTGTATTGTCAATATTTAATCATGAAAACCCTCCAAAAAAAAAAAAAATATATCAACAGCAACAACAATAACAACAACAACAACAGATACAATATCAATTAAATTAAACGACCACTATCGGTTGCTCTTTAAAGACTAAAACAACTGAATAAATTATGGAGTGAGAAAGACAGAACAACAAAAATATGATTTCTAAGAGCATGCATCTTTCCCATTGCAACATACGCCTGTGAGATCTGGACACTTACTAAACAATGTGAACAAAGCATAAATACTTTTGAAGACAAAAGTTATAGACTGGTTCTTAGAATATCATGGGTAAAGAAAAGAACAAATGCATCCATACTTCAAAAACTAAATATTAAAGAAGGTTGGCTATTAAAGACGATAAAACACATAAAATTGAAATATTTTGGTCACTTAAGTTTAGAGAGAACACTAGTGGAGGGGTTTATGCCTGAGAGAAAAAAGGAAGAGGAAGACCACAGATAATATGGATGGAGGATGTGGCGGATGATCTCCAGATGGGTGTATTGGACGCAGGACATCTTGCTTGTGATCGATAAGTTTTCCTCAGGGTGGTTATGAGATCAGAGTTCTGTAAACGACAAGCTACTGGCTGACTGACATTATCAATTATACCGGTGTTTCATTCAGGGCATAACCTAGTACTTCGTTCATAATTCGGACACTAAAAAAGATATGTCAACGAAATTTTGAGCTGCCCTAACTTCCTTTTATGTGAAGTCGGGTGACATCATAACTGATGCTGGAAATGACCATCCTTGGCGTCCTTGCAGCACTGGTTCATGTTGTGGAAAGACTGTTTCAATACGTCAGGTGTCACTGCCTGGATGACCGCACTGAAGTTTGATTTCAAGGCCTCTATGGTTCACGGTTTGTTGGCAGTTGTTATGATGTCACCAGACTTTGCGTGAAGGGAGGCAAGTCCCCACCAAAATGCATTACTATATCTTGACTAGTATCCGAGTTATGAAGGAAGTACGGGGTTCCGACCTGAGTGAAACAACGATGGGTGACCTGTCGCAGCGATATGTGCACTATCAAAACATTGGGTGCACCATCACAACAATGTACGAACAAACACAGTGATTTCTCCTGTTACTCACTTCCTCCTGTGTCTTGTCACGATGACGATGATCAGTATGGCGAGAGTGGCCAGCAGGATAGAGCACAGCACCAAGGTGATTATGAGGATGAGGTAGGGCAAGCTGCCTGAAAGAGAAGATAGAACATTTCCTTGTAATGCAGGCAGCAAGAGTTATCTCTCATGTGTGCATGTCTTTGTCTATCTGCTGGTCTGATATTATGCTTCAGTGTTTCTGGATCTGTTAGTTTTCTGCACAGTTCTCTCTTCTTCTTCTTCTTCTTCTTCTTCTTCTTCTTCTTCTTCTTCTTCTTCTTCTTCTTCTTCTTCTTCTTCTTCTTCTTCTTCTTCTTCTTCTTCTTCTTCTTCTTCTTCTTCTTCTTCTTCTTCTTCTTCTTCTTCTTCTGCTTCTGCTTCTGCTTCTGCTTCTTCTTCTTCTTCTTCTTCTTCTTCTTCTTCTTCTTCTTCTTCTTCTTCTTCTTCTTCTTCTTCTTCTTCTTGATATTGTTGTTGTAAATGTTGTCAGGCAAGTGATACCTTTTTAGACTTGCAGACAGACAAACATTTAGGCAAGCAGACAGAGACAAACAGGTAGGCAAGCAAGCAGACAGACAGACAGACAGGCAGGCAGGCAGGCAAGCAGATAGGCAGGCAAGCAGACAAACAGACAAAAAAGACAGACAGGCAGGCAGGCAGGCAGGCAAGCAGACCGACCGACGGACGGATCGACCGACGGACCGACCGACCGACCGACGGACGGACGGACGGACGGACAGACGGACAGACGGACAGACAGACAGACGGACAGACAGACAGACAGACAGACAGACAGACAGACAGACAGACAGACAGACAGACAGACAGACAGACAGACAGACAGACAGACAGACAGACAGACAGACAGACAGACAGACAGACAGACAGACAGACAGACAGACAGACAGACAGACAGACAGACAGACAGACAGACAGACAGACAGACAGACAGACAGACAGACAGACAGACAGACAGACAGACAGACAGACAGACAGACAGACAGACAGACAGATAGATAGATAGATAGATAGATAGATAGATAGATAGATAGATAGATAGATAGATAGATAGATAGATAGATAGATAGATAGATAGATAGATAGATAGATAGATAGATAGATAGATAGATAGATAGATAGATAGATAGATAGATAGATAGATAGATAGATAGATAGATAGATAGATAGATAGATAGATAGATAGATAGATAGATAGATAGATAGATAGATAGATAGATAGATAGATAGATAGATAGATAGATAGATAGATAGATAGATAGATAGATAGATAGATAGATAGATAGATAGATAGATAGATAGATTAGATTAGTTTAGATTAGATCAAGCGATGAGACAGATACTCACTGTTGGCAGCTTGGTCCACGCAGTCGTCTCCTTTACATTCAGTTGTCATTGTATGAATCTGACTTACCGGCCCCTGCGGACGTTGAAAAACAACAACATGATTTTATTTTTAAAAAAGGTTTTTTTACAAAAAACTAATATTCTGATTCTATCTTATCTAGTCTCTTTGTGGTGGTATTGGCAAATCAAGGTATGCGCCCACAGCATCCGTTGACCACCCCCTCCCCGCCCCACACACAAACACAAACACACACACACCACAGACTGCAAAAATCTCAGTCCGATTTCCAAACCGAAACGAATCCCAAGGTAACATGTTGTACGTCTATAACAGTTATAATTGTGGCATCCCTAACAGTGATGCCTGTGTGATGTAACCTCCAGTCCAGCACAGACACGGACCTTTTGTTATGTAATAATTACCGTCCCAATATGGAACGCAATATTTGTTGTTGTTGTTAATTGAAAGCCCTACCCAAGCTGTCGACGTGGACTATAATATCAACTAACGGTTGAACGAGTTTTCTGGGACTTGTACCTGGTTGATCCTCATTCGAATGGTGGCACTTTGTGTCACCGGGTGTAGGTGGCTCGCTGTGTGGTCCTGGTGGGGTTGAAGGTCAAACAAGGACTGTTAACTATCTCACTACAAAGGAAAAGCCACCGAGGAGAATGGACAGGGAGGCCTATGGGATTTTTATTAAAACCCAAGGGGAGGAAAAGGGGGGGGGGGGGGGGGGGGTCCTCGCAAAGAAATTGTACGCAGGAAAGTCGATTGGGGAGGGGGGGGGGGGGGGTCCTCGCAAAGAAATTGTACGCAGGAAAGTCGATTGGGGAGGGGGGGGGGGGTCCTCGCAAAGAAATTGTACGCAGGAAAGTCTATTGGGGAGGGGGGGGGGGGGGGTCCTCGCAAAGAAATTGTACGCAGGAAAGTCTATTGGGGAGGGGGGGGGGGGGTCCTCGCAAAGAAATTGTACGCAGGAAAGTCTATTGGGGAGGGGGGGGGGGGGTCCTCGCAAAGAAATTGTACGCAGGAAAGTCGATTAGGAAAGGTGGGGGGGGGGATATTTGGTAGATTTAATTACAGTAATAAACATAATATAATAAAGCACGGGGGGTGGGAGGGGGAGCCTCTGTGAAATATATATTTTTTTGTTTGTTTGGTCGCTTACACATGCGCATTGATCACGCATCGTCACTGTATTCGCCCTCTATTTTTAAGACAGATCGGAATTCGATAGACGATGTGGCCTTTGCCTTCAGGGACATTTCCCGGTAGCCATTTTAGGCCGAGCCTACCTGTAGTCTAAGTTAATTTTCAAATTGCGATTGCATGTGAAATCGGCGCCTTGACCGCGGGATTCGCAGGCAGTACTGTTAGCCACTGCGCCACCTTGAATCTGGTAAGACAGCCACTGCGCCACAGTAAATCTGGTTAGACAGCTACTGTGCCACAGTGAATCTGGTAAGACAGACACTGTGCCACAGTAAATCTGGTAAGATAGCCACTGCGCCACAGTAAATCTGGTAAGATAGCCACTGTGCCACATTGAATTTGGTAAGACAGCCACTGTGCCACAGTAAATCTGGTAAGACAGCCACTGCGCCACAGTAAATCTGGTAAGACAGCCACTGTGCCACAGTAAATCTGGTAAGACAGCCACTGTGCCTCATTGAATCTGGTAAGACAGCCACTGTGCCACAGTAAACCTGGTAAGACAGCCACTGTGCCACATTGAATCTGGTAAGACAGCCACTGCGCCACAGTAAATCTGGTAAGACAGCCACTGTGCCACAGTAAATCTGGTAAGACAACACAGCTAGGTCAGACGGACTCGGTTTGAGTTTAGAAATACAGAATGGCTTTCCGATCCGCCACTGATGTGCTTGGTTTGGGGGGACCGGGTGGGGTGGGGGGGGGGGGGGAATACCTGTAAACGTGTGGTATAAATATAGTATAGAGCAAACTTTTATTGGTCGCGGCGCCTTTATTCAATTAAAATGTTTCCACGGCGCCCTAACCTAAGTAACAGTACGACAATTTGTGTCTTGGTTAAATTAATTATGAATTTACAATATTTCGCAGCGCCTCTGTGAAGAGGTCGCAGCTCACCGGGGAGCTGCGGCGCACAGTTTGGGAATCACTGCACAGTGTTCTTTTTCTTTTTCTACCTTTCTTCCCTTTCTTTCTTTCTTTCTTCCCTTTTTTCCTTTTCTTTCTTTCTTTCTTTCTTTCTTTCTTTCTTTCTTTCTTTCTTTCTTTCTTTCTTTCTTTCTTTCTTTCTTTCTTTCTTTTTTCTTTTTTTCTTTCTTTTTCTTTCTTTCTTTCTTTCTTTCTTTCGTTCTTTCTTTCTTTCTTTCTTTCTTTCTTTCTTTCTTTCTTTCTTTCTTTCTTTCTTTCTTTCTTTCTTTCTTTCTTTCTTGCTTGCTTGCTTTCTTTCTATTGTCTTTCTTCTTCTTCTTCTTCTTCTTCTTCTTCTTCTTCTTCTTCTTCTTCTTCTTCTTCTTCTTCTTCTTCTTCTTCTTCTTCTTCTTCTTCTTCTTCTTCTTCTTCTTCTTCTTCTTCTTCTTCTCCTCCTCCTCCTCTACTCATCCACCTGTTTCTTCTTCTTCTTTTCCTTCTTCTTCCTCTCTGCTATTACTCAGCTGGAGTCGTCACAACCTCTTCTCTAAAACCATTGCCTCTCTTCCGTGAAACCTTCCCCTCTATTGCTCCTGGCAATATCTTCCTTTTATTCCCACTTCTACACAATCTCTGCCATGGAAAATGTCGCAAACATGTGTCCAGACAAAAACAACCTGGTTGTGAAGAGACTGTTGTCACAGCCGGGGGGAAGAACAAATCAGGTTAGCTGTAATCGATTATTTCTGTCAGAACTGAGCACTGTCACGAGTACTGGTCAGGTGAAAGGGTTCCTGTGATAGAAGCAGGCCCTAGGGCTGTTCTGTATTTGGTCTTAATACAGACTAGGCCAGGATGTAAGGACCTGAAGTGACCATTTCTCTTACGCGCTTTTTGTCAACCTTAGAAGGAATTATACGGTATTAATTTTGATATGTGTGGGTCGACCGCTACACTTATTTGGGCAGTAATGCAGATAAAGATAGAGGAACTGATAGAGATATTAAAATAAGAATACAAAAGGCAAGAGGAGCTTTCGTAGCACTAGGGAATTTGTGGAGGTCAAAAGAAATTAAAAGAAATACTAAACTAAAATTTTTAATTCTAATGTTAAATCAGTACTTTTGTATGCGGCGGAAACATGGACAACAACGAAGGCAATTACTAATAAATTACAGACATTCATTAACTGGTGCCTGCGCAGAATAGAGGGAATTAAATGATATGATAGAATAACTAATGTAGAACTTTGGAAGGGAACTAAACAGGCTCCGGTGCACCAAGAGGTGAGGAAAAGACGCTGGCGTAGGATAGGACACACACTGAGAAAACAGGAGAACAGCATAACTAGAATGTCTTTGCATTGGAACTCACAGGGGCATACGCATAAAGAAGGGAAAAAAAAAAAAAAACATGGAAAAGAGAGCTGGAATATGAAGTTAGAAAGATGGGGAAGACCTGGGGGGAGCTTCATGTAATGGCGAAGGATAGAACGACTAGGCGTGAGTTGGTTGAGGGCCTATGCTTCATTAGGGGACAGAAAGGCAAAAGAAGAAAGGTCGACCGCTAGAGCTACGTGGTTCAGAAATGAAAGAAGCGAA